CGAGAGAGTTTTTTAGAAAACCGTGTCAGAAAGATTTTTCAATATAAGCATCTCAAAGAATAGAAAATTCTGGACAAAATGAAGGGTCGTCCAGCTCGCTACGATATTCTCTCACAAAGTTATAAGCATTAGAAAAAATGCGATTTTTTTGATAAAAATCGATGAAAAACTTCAAAAATAAAAGTGTCTTAAACTTTTACGGTTCACTTTACTACTTATGAGGATATGAGAGAGAGAGAGATGTCGGTTTATGTTTTTGTGAATCCGGACCAGTAGACTCGGACTCAAATTCAATCGGGTCCATGTTTTTTACCTTTCAGAAAAACTCAACGTACAGTTATTAACACGAAAAAGAGAGTGAACGATTAATTGATAAACAAAAATAGTGTTAACATAGGAAATTATTCGAGCCGGAGAAAAATCTCATTCCGAGCTATTCGAATGGCTTGGAATGAGATTTTTTATTTTCTTGAGAATTACATTCAAAAAGAAATAAATTTGACTTTAATTCAATTTATTTTTTGTCTAGGGTATTAATGTAAAATGTGCAGCTCTAGTCAATGATACCGTTGGAACATTAATGGCATGTGCATATAGAGAACCATCAACAGCTATTGGTCTTATATTAGGTACAGGAACAAATGCATGTTATATTGAAAATTTAGATAATGTTGGTACATGGAATGGTGATTATAATGAACCAAAACAAGTTATTATTAATATGGAATGGGGTGCATTTGGTGATAATGGTTGTTTAAATCATATACGTACAAAATATGATGAAGAAGTTGATCTTTCATCAATTAATCCTGGCAAACAAACGTAAATAATTTGAAATTTTTGTTTTTCTTCTCAACATAATTTTGCTTTTGTTTTTGTTTTTTTTATAGTTTTGAAAAAATGATTTCAGGAATGTATATGGGTGAAATAGTACGACTTATAATACTTGATTTACTTCAACAAGAATTACTTTTTCTTGGTCATCGTGATACATATGGAGATTATAAAACTCCACTTTATAATCGAGGTGGTTTTTATACAAAATTTGTTTCAACTGTTGAAACTGATGAAGGTAATTTCAAAAAACAAAACAAAAAAAAAAAAAGATAAGTCAATTATATTTAAGGTATTAAATTTTCAAATACACGTCGAGTACTTGAAGATATTGGTATTCGAAATCCAACATTTGATGATTGTGTTATTGTTCAACATATATGTCGACAAGTTTCAACAAGAGCTGCACGATTAGCTGGTGCTGGTATGTTTTTATTTTATTATGTATCAAAATTAAAATATTAAAAAAATTTTTTGTAAAAAAAAAAAACAAAAGGTTTGGCAGTATTAATTAATCGTATGAAAAAATCGAATATTACAATTGGTGTTGATGGTTCACTCTATCGATATCATCCACGATTTAAACGAAATATGGAACGATGTATGGAAAATTTAGTTCATAAAGATCTAAAGGTATATAAACTAATCAATAAAATATGAAAATAGTTTTTCAAATCAAATCGATTCAGTCGGAATTTAAAATAGAGGATAAAGTTGTTAGTACAACTCTTACGAGATTACATTGTAAAACGCGATGTAGTTATTGTTAATAATCATAGATAGATTGTTTTATTGTATCTATTTTATATGTCTGCTAAGATAGCTGTCACAGTCTATTGACCGGAGGCAAATTTCTATTTCAATACTCCTTTTAGATCGTGTTTCACAAAATTTTTAATCATTATATGATATTCTACGTAACTAATAAAGAAACACATGACTGAAGTAATGGTTATCACAACTCCGAAGAATTGTAAAATATCAGATAAGCCGAAACTTGATGAATACATATGTCACTAACGAAAACTACTAGATAAAGTCTTGCAAAAGCGTTAGTTACTTGGTTCGAGCGGGTATTTAGATTCGGATATCAATTATTAGTTCGATCTGAATGCTGACCATAAAAATCAATTGTCGGATTAAATTCAGTTATGATCTCCTCTCTGGTAATACTCAGCAGTTATGTACCAGAGATGAACGGAACGACTACAAAAGCGTCTCATCTGTTAACAACGTTTTTTTAGAGGCCATGATTTTGTAGTTACCTCTCATAAATACTTTTTTTGTTTCATGATATGACATTACATTATTTCAATACATGTAACGATTTTTTTGGTTTTTTTCATAATGTTAAGCACGTAGCTCCAATTCAAATAGTGATTTTAATAGCCAATGGAGTTTTCTATCTAATACACTTTATAGCAAGATTTCACAGATGGACAATGATAGCAAGGCTCCCAAAAATCCGAACACGGTATTTTTCAGGTTCTAGAAGATTTTGCCAGAGCTATTTTTGAACGATGTCATCTTAAAGAGCATAAAATTCTGAGTAAAATGAGGGGGTCACCGAGTTTTCTACGACCTCCTCATAAAAAGTTACAAGCATCACAAAAATCATGAAAAAATGCGTTTTTAGTCGATTTTTAAAAAAATTTCGTTTTTTCATGATTTTTGTCATGCTTGTAACTTTTTATGAGAAGTTCGTAGAAAACTCGGTGACTCCTCATTTTGCTCAGAATTTTATGCTCTTTAAGATGGCACCGTTCAAAAATAGCTCTGGTAAAGTCTTCTAGAATCTGAAAAATACCGTGTTCGGTTTTTTAGGATCGTCGCCATCACTGTTCATCTGTGAAATCTTGCTATAAAGTGTATTGGATAGAAAACTCTATTAGCTATTAAAATCACTATTTGGATTGAAGCTACGTGGTTAACATTATGAAAAAAATCAAAAAAATCGTTGTTTTTAAACGTTTTTTCACCATTTTACTCTCTGAAAAAAATATAGTAGTTCCAATGCACGGGGGAAAACGTGAAATCTGATGGTGCGGTGTCGCATCGCGCCCTGCTCATCTCTGGTATAGATCTGTATTTATCATATTTAGCTTCGACATTTCTTTTTATTAGAATTTCATTAGCGACAAGTGGAAGTAACTTCTCTACAGTGAATATCCTTCCAACTTTTCATAAATATTCACTGTGAAAGGTTTTACTGTATATTAGAATCAGGGAGATACGCAACTGTATAATAACTTCCTTGATTTCCTGTGTAATTCTTGTTAGTTTCTTCCTTAAGATGGCATCTATTTATGTAATTAATTCGAATAGTTTTGAATAAGAGATAAAAGTTGGAACATTTTTTATTACTGATAACATTTTTCGATATACCACATACTACTAGATGAATGTTAGATACGAAGAGTTATATAATGTATTATTTTCGAGTAAGATTTTCAGTATTGAAAAGAAATACAGAGATAGATTACTTCTCAATCACATCTCAAAATCTTCGGATATTATTGACTATCTTGGAAGAAACATTTTATTAACGATTTTAATATAGAGTTATTAATATCATTAGTTTCGATGATATTCACAATTGAAGATTTTTATATTAAAATATTTTTTTGCTTTTTTCTTTTCTTTAGTTCAAATGGGCTTTGTCTGATGATGGTAAGCCGTTTATATATGATAAATATATATATTTATGATTTATTGAAAATATTTAGGTAGTGGCAAAGGTGCAGCATTGGTTGCATGTGTTGCTGAACAGAATTCTTCAGGAATATTTGTTCAAAACCATAAAGAAGTACCTGATTATAAAAAAAGTGAATGAAATTCTGATTGACTTAAATAGGTTTTTTTTCTATCATCTATTAAAATCTTAATCTCTTTGTTCATTTCATTCTTTTAAATGCAAATATATTGTTCAAGATAAGAATTCTTTTTTTCTTTCAACTTGTAACTTTATATTCATAAAATCTTATATATTGTATTAGTAAGATGATCGAAATACAACAAAAAAATCAAATTAAATCATAACTCCAATATACGTGAATCAATGGAGAGTGTATGAATGCGTGTGATTAGGGTTTATTATCGTGCATATGCATCTAAAATAAAGAAACATTTTTGTATTTCATTTTATCATCATTTAATACGTTATATTCTATACGACCATTGTTTGCAGCGTCAAAATTTGATCGTATCCATTTTAAACACAAAAAAATTCAACTATAAAATTAGTCGTGCTTTATAAATTATAGAGCTCTTTTCACACTGCATCTTATGATATATTTTGTTTTTTAATACAATGTATTAAATCCCCCATTATTTCTGCTTCACTCGTGATTTAGGTGAACTTATAGGACACTATATGTATACAAAACATTGCTTTAATTTGGAAAGCATTTTCTATTGGATAATTTTTATTGTATATTTTTTTAATCCCATATAATATTTGTTTTTTTTTCTTCTTTTATCCAACTTATGAATCATCATCAATCGTTGTTAAATACACTTGTATGGATAGATAAAACTTAATGTGAGGAAAGCTATTTGCGATAAAATCAAATATGATATTAGTGACTGATAAAGTATGTAAATTAGTGACTCATACAAATCAATGAGTACACCAACTAACTGATAAAATAAAATTTGCTTTCGAAATTAAAAGCAATTAAAAAACAAAAAAAAAAGAATTATTAGGATCTTTTGGTATAAAGTAACCCAAAATTAAAGACCCCCCCCCCCCCCGCTCATGCGTTCATACAATAATATTTATTTCATCTATAGAGGAACAGACAAAAACAATCGATAATAGCAATAGTTAGTAGACAACCATGCTTACAGGTTATCAATAGTTTAATAATATAAACTTTTCCTAATGAAATAAATATTATTATATGAATGTATGGATGGGGATCTTATAATGTTGGGATACCCTTTAGTTTTCTTTTCAGTAAGAGATCTCATGATGAATAATAGTAGATTTTACTATTTTCAATAATAAATATCTTGTTTATAGATTGAATGTAGAATATGTATGTAAATATAATAATCTATTTGAAAATAATAAGAAATATCTTATTAGAGAAAAAAAATTTTCTTTTTTGAAAAATATTGTTCAAAAAAAAAATACATGTACAATGAATGTCTTTTAGCTAAAATTAACCGATTACATTTGTAGTATAAGACATATTAAAGTATGTTGTTGTAGTTGTATTCGTTTGAATTGTTGAAGTAAGAGGAGGAAGGGTTGGTGGCATTGTAAAACCTAAAAGTTATAAATTAATATAAATTTAATTTATTATTTTACATATTAGAATATTTAACATACCTATTACACGAATATTTATAGTAATAACCAATGTAAATACCATTCCATCGATCTCAAATGTATAACTTATACTAAAGATTCTAAAACGTAGTGAACATTCAAAACATCTTCTACGACGTAGTCGAAAACTCATATAAAGTCGTTGTAATCTACGTGATGGTCTATAACGACGAAATCTTGCAACATCACTGAAAAAAAAAATCAAATCAAAATATTTACTATATTTTATTTTTATTTTAAATACATACTATCCTCGTCGTTTACGTTCACTTGATGTTGATGCAACTGAAGCTGAATCCATATCAACTGAATCAGGTGGTAAGCCAAGTTTATCTTCCATCTATAAAGTATAAAATGAATTTACGGATTGGTTTTATCTTCAAACGTTTTTTTTTTTTTACCGCTCGTGTAATATTTTGACGTGCTGCTGGACTTAATGGCCCATCATTACCTAATGAACCACTATAATCACCAGTGGCATAATAATATTGACTATATTCACCTGATAAATATGCATTTATTTTAAAAAAATCAAATCCTCGTATAAATATTATCCATACTTGGTGTTACAGTTTTTTTTGGTAAATAAAGTGGTATCAATGCAAGAACAATAGTAGCTGCTACTAAGAATAGAACAAATATCGTGCAACCTATACATAATAGTTGACCCAAAGCTGAATCTTTTCTATTTAATAAATAATAGAAATAGATAAAAATAAAAGATTTTGAAATTTTATTTATTCACCGACGAGGAGCATCAGGAGTGATAGGTGGTCCGTTTGCATACATTTCCGAAACTGAAGAGTATAGATATTAATATGAAATATAACTTCAAATGTATAGTTATGCTTAGTAGTTGCACTTTTTTATATGGCCTTTGATAGGCGTCACCTTTTTCTATAAGATAATCACGATTTTTTTTTCTTTTGTACTATTTAGAGACCATAAACGTAAATTAGCTATTGGTTCTCTCATTTTTCTTTGGATTGCATTTATTTTTTGAGTGTGACTCATCTATCGTATCCGTAGATGTGTATTATATTTGTCTCTTGTTTCTATGATTAGCTATATGTTGTATCATAATATGCAGATTTCGATAGACAATATACACAGTTCAATGAGGTTAAATGTCAATAAGGATAAAATGAAAAAGCAATGATGCATAAAAGAAAGGTTTATGGGTTAGTCATGATTATGAAAATAATATTGTAGAACTGATAAAAACATTTTTTTTTCCCATAAAATCTTATTTATTTATTTTCATTTAGGATTATAGAAGAAAATTTGATTCTAATAAAACTATCTTTCTCTCTCATATAAAATAACTATCAAGATCGAGTTTTATTATCTTAGTTCTAGAGAAAAATCTTACAATTTATAATGAAAGTTTTATATTGATCAGAAAAAAAAGAACTCATATTCTAAATTATAATTTCAAAACATTTTCTAACAAAATTAAAATAAAATCATCTCTAAATAATTGCTTTATTTTAACGAGTACTGTCTATTATTAAAAATAAATTTATTTTTTTAGTACATTAGAAAAATGATTTAACTTATGACTACTTCACAATGATTTTAAATTGAAAAGTGAAATTTTCGCCTATATGATAATCAAAAATTGACAAAACACGATGATTACAAAACATAATTTATTTACTTTCAGGTAATTTCTTGTTTTATTTGATAATGTTTTGGTTATGAGTGGTGTGTTGATATGAGTTAACACAATCGGATATTATACTTTTTCGGTGTTGGGGGAAAAACTATCATTTGTGTAAATAGAGTTATTCCCACATAAAATCCCCCTCCCCCAAAAGATGATTGTATTTCGATATTTTGATTATCAAAAATTGGTTTTTTCTTTTTTATTGGAAATAAACATGCAAAAATACATCAGAAACTATGTTTCATTGTAAAATATCTCTGATTAAAATTTTTGCTCTACTCTTCTATTGAATTTTATATATAAAATTTTAAGCTGTATTTGCCCTACGGGCAAAATTTTATTGAAAATCTTTTTCAATGCAATATATAGTTTCTATTGTCTTTTTGCATGCTGATTCTGAAAATCATGTTTATTTTGAATAAAAAACAATTTCTAGTAATCAAAATCTAGAAATACGATCCGTTTTTTTTTGTGGGTATTTTACATGGGGAAATGACTCTGTTTTATCTCTTTGATGATGGAATTTTTTTTTAAAGGAAGATTGTATTCCCCGTAAAGTACTAATTTTTTTGATCCTTTTGTAGAGTAAACGAAACTGCATATAATCTGAAATTTTCTTGGATGATCGATTCGTTTTGATTTTTATAAGTTTGATAGAGAATTAAGGGTTGTATATACTCTGAAATTATCGAACAAGTATTCGTTGAGAAATATTGAGTATTCTGAAAAGTGCGACATTTTTTGCCTGAAATCTCAAAATTACCGTACATTATAATAAAAATTTGTTATGATTAAAAGATGTGCCATTGAATTCAGCATATACTGAGTGAAGTCATTGATATGCAAGAAAGGAATTTTTTGACTAACTTCAAGGTAAAACTTCTTTGGTGAAAGTCCTGCTAATGAACTTTTTATGTATGGTTACGAATGTAATTCGTGTTTAATAGACAAATTTACTTAATTGATTAATTATTGAAATAGAATTTCTAATACAGTTTTATATTCTCTATATCAAATGGTATCAACGTTGAAAAATCTACATTGTTGAAAATTCAAGAATAGCGCAAAATCCTTCATTTTGCAGTATTTTCAAAATATCAATCTTTTTTTTTCGTACATTATTTCGGAACTAAAAGTTCTGACTCCCACTCAGTACATATGAAATTTGACGGTGCATCTTTTAGTCATAGCAATTTTTTTTTACTGTGATGTACTTTAATTCTGAGGATTCAGGCACAAAATATCGTATGTTTTAGAACACTCAGTATTTCTCGACGAATACTTGTTCAATCATTATCAAAATTTCAGGATATATACAACCCTTGGTATTCTATCAAACTGTAGAAAAATCAGGTCAAAATTCTTTATCCGAAATGTTTTCGAAATTTCAGATCGGCTGGAGACTTGAAAAGTTATCAAACTTGTGAAAACCATAACTCAGTCAAAACGAATTTCAGATTATATGCAGTTTCGTTTGCGCTACAAAATAGTTAAAAAATATTGATATCTTAAGAGAAGGGATGCAGCCGTCTTAATCGAAAAGTAATTCTTCAATCATTTTATTTTATTTGAATGAAAATAACTACAAAAAAATCTTATAATAATCAAAAAAATGATCTATTAATTCATTATAATCGAAATTGAAGTCAGTCTCGTTGCTGTATATAGAAATTACTGAACTCGTGATCGATTTCGATATTTCTATATAATTCCATTTACTTAGATTTAATTATAAATAAAGGGTCGTCCCAAAGTTTC